TGCCAAGTAGGCCAAGTAAGTCCCAAACGGAGGGCTGAAGTAGACCTTTACCCTCCGAATGGCACATAACATACGTGAGCTCACCTCTGATCCCGACAAAGTTTGTAGATTCATCCATTTTTGTACTTATAATGTCTTCTCTCAAAGTCCCTTTTTATTTTCTGTTATTTCTTATAGTACATCATGTCCACGGAAGGTTACATTTTATAAGAAATAAAACCGAAACCCACCGTTTGAATTTTTTCTTTCAAATTGGCATGCGTGTGTTGAGAGACACGCTCAGCCAGTATGGTACTTGTACTTTATTTTTCTTACAACAAGATGCCCACTTTGGGGCGAAGTCAAGTCCCCTTTTAACTCTTTAAGGATGTGGCAGACATGTCTGATGAGCAGAAGATCAAATGCAATATATGACACGACACATTATTTAACTATCATTCAAAACTCGGAAATGTTACCTTGCATATTTCACCGTATGCGTGTTGTTGCATATATGTTTCAGACAAAGAAAACAGTTGAAATATCTGATTGGAAAACGAATATACACTTTAAAAAAAAAAAGCCACAAAGCAGTGCATCTTTAAACGTTGTCGAATAACAAGAGCACAGGTCCTTAATGAGTTAAAATTTGGACCCACCTTACCTTGTGTTATCTGATGAAATTGCGGTGACTGGCAACATAAGGATTTGTCGAGTTTTGAAGAGAGCTGGACCCCGAAAAACGTACAAGTATGAGCATTAAAAATAGAGCTCTTATCAACATAGATGTATTTGCCACTATCCATACACAAACACTGCTATTTCGGTCTTTTAAGGACGGTCAAGGTAGCTCAGTACGTGGTCTATATAAATAACGCGAGTAAAGAGTAGCATAGTTCAAAAAGAGGGTTAGTCTTGTCGAGACATGTCGTCTCTCGCACGTTTCACTTTCTCTCTTAGTCTCGCTGTTGCTCTATCCTTCACATTCTCTGCAGAAAGAGCTATAGACGGATGCCAAAGAGCCATCTCCGATATCTCATGTGACGTGTCTTACCCCTACCGCCAGGCAGACGGGAGCTGCAACAACATTAAGCAGCCCACAAGGGGCCGCACCAACTCCCCTTTCCGTCGTCTCCTCTCTCCAGTGTACGACCAGAACGATGGGAATACACCACGCCTGGTCTCCGTTGCTCCTGGCAACCCACCTTTACCCAGCCCGCGGACAGTGAGTACGAACGTGCACCCTCCAGGCAATGCTCTGTCCGACGATGCCACAGTCATGCTGATGCAGTGGGGTCAGTTCCTTGACCATGACATCACACATACCCCCCAAACATCCAGTCCCAACAAACTGTGCTGTAGCGGGCTGACCAATGGCTCAGATTTTCACCCTGATGTGAGATCAGGCGGTCCATGTCACCCAATCATGGCCCCAGAGGACGACCCATACTTCAATACGCAAAACACTCGATGTATCTCCTTTACAAGATCTGAAGGCGTCTTGGACGACATGTCGATCAGACAGCAGTACAGCGATATCACCCCATTCTTAGATGGCTCACAAATCTACGGCAGTAGTGAGACCCACGCAAGATCGCTACGTTCCTTTGAAAATGGAAAGCTGAGGGCAAAAATAATTAACGGAGAAGAATTCCTGCCTAAATGGGAGGACGACAGCCAGTGTTTCAAGTTAGAGCCAGGGGATTACTGCTTTTTAGCAGGAGATGTTCGAGTTAATGTATACCCAGGGTTGAATGCGTTGCATACTGTGTTCTTACGCTATCACAACTTGCTGTGCGAACGTCTGAAGGCCGCTCACGAAGACTGGACTGACGAGAAATTATACCAGCAAGCCCGCAGAATTGTGGGGGCGATTCTCCAAAAAGTTTCGTATTCTGATTACCTAAAGACTCTACTGGGAGAAACTGTAGCTAAAATATACGATCTTCTCCCGGGTGATGGGGATTATGCGTACAACGATATTGTTGACCCAACTTTGTCCAATGCATTTTCTACAGCTGCGTACCGATTTGGGCACTCGTCCATCCCCGATGACCTACAGATCGGCAACGAGACGGTGCCTACTGGCAAGCTGTATCTGCGACCTAAGTTTGTTCTGAACGGTCTGGACGATGTCATCAAAGCACTCTCAGAAGGGAAGCAGCAACGGGTGAGTGGGAACATCCAAATTGGGGAAAATAGGAAAGAGGAGGGGGAAGACGACGGAGTGGCAGAGTAGGGAAGGGGGTGGGAGTATAGCAGGGTAAGGGGAGGGTAGAGGTGGATGGAGTGGCAGTGTTGGAAGATTGGGGGTGGATTAGAGTGACAGAATGAGGCGGAGGGAGTATGATATGGTAAACGTGCAAACACAGTGGATACATCTTCGCCACCTTTTTGGGGAGTATCCGCCTCGCCTCCCTTTTTTTTTTGTTGGCGTATGTTGTTTTTAATCAACAAATGCGTTGCACGCGCTACAGTGGGTTCGCCTTTCGCGCCTTTTGCTTCACTCCCCCATACTGCAAAAAAGTGAGGGATCGTCAACTAAGGTCTGCCCTAAATTTCGTTCGCCTTCATTCGCCTCGCCGTTCCCATTGTGCTCAGTCTAACTAGTTTGCCTATGTTGTTTGTTGTGGGTGCCTCGCTTGTTACACTGAATACATTCTAGTATCGTTATGTGTTGTCTTTCATCATTTTCATTTCACACCTTGGCCGATTAGAACGGAATTAGAAATTATGAACCAAGAAATATTGATCACATCTGTAGAAAAAAACCCAGTCCTTTATGATAAGACAGACAGGTACTATTAAAACAGGAATTATGTAAGTGCTGAATGGAAAAAAGTTGCAGAAGAAGTTGGATGTACTGGTAATTTTGACGTCTTCATTTCAACCAGTACAAGAACATCAACTTCAAAGCTGTCATCTTTAGATCTGAACAAAAAAAGGGGAGTCAGGAAAGGCGAATCCACTCTGTCGTGTCATGTTCCAACCCATTCGCCTCCCTTTCCTCCCATATTTTTGAGGAGGCGAAAGGGGAGGAAAGGACGATCCACTGTGTTTGTGCCATAAAAAAGGGGTGGGTGGAGTGGCAGAATAATGAGGGGGAGGGGAAGGAATGATAGGGTAAGGAGACAAGG